TTTAGCAGCGGAAAAACTTTCTTTTTCTCCAATTAAATACCACGTTGGTACAAATTAACTGAAGAATAAATAATTTCTTTAGCAGTGGAAAAAATATTCTAAATTTCTTGAATTTTTTACCCACAGGAAAAAATTACTTTTCCTCTATTTTCTTTGAGCTATTTTTCATTTTCCAGAAATAAGCAATTACTTGAAAATAAAAAAGGAAAAAACTGTTCTTGAGCCAAAACTGGCACAGTGGTCCGGCCCAGCTCTGGCCTCAGGCCGGCCCTTCTCTCTCGCGCGCGCTGCCTTGCCAAGGCGCAACGTGGGCCTAGGCCGGCAAAGCGCCGCGTGTGCTCGCCCGCCTGGGCCGTGATGCGGCCCGTGCATCTGGCGCCGTTGAATCCAATCGGACGATCGAGCGGGCGTTTCGGCCGGTCAAAACCCCAGCGCCGCTCGGCTCCCCGCAACCCTAGCGCCATTCGCCCCCTGCCCTTTCTCTCTCTTCTTTCTCTCTTCACCGCTTTCCACTCCTCTCTCAGCCGCAGCGATGAAACCGAGCGAGAGCCAGCAAGGTGGTGGAGCGACCATGGCGCCGTTGCCGGCACGCGTGCTCCCCAATGGGTGAGCACGCCGCCGTCGAGCGGCCTGGCCACGGCGCCCCCTTGGCCGAGCCCGGCGAGCAGCTGCCCCTCGGATCGGCCCTTCTTCTCCCGCGCCGGCGAAGGGCCATCCCGACGCACGGCGAGGTTTGTTCCTTCCCCTTTCCCTTTCTCCTTCCCCTTCCCCTTCTTCTTTTCGATTTAGATTGATCTTCTCTTTTTCGAACCGACTGTGGGGAATTAGGGTTTGATCTAGGGTTCAATCCGAATGGGAATCTAGGGTTCTGAAAGGGGATCTAGGGTTAGGGTTCGGTTGAACCCGAGTCGTGTTTTCTTTTAGTTTGATTCGAGATCTTTGAGATTATCCCCTTCCCCTCTTCCCCTTCTTTTCTTTTGAATCTGCTTCTTTCTACGGATTCAACCGATTGGGGTACTAGGGTTAGGGTTTCGTGATTTGCACTTTTCTTTTGATTTCTTTTCTTTTAGGAGTTCATCCGAATCGCTTCCCTTCCCCTTCTTTATGCGAGTTAGGGTTAGGCTTGGGGAACCTTTCTGTTCTTCTTTCCTTAGATCCGAACTAGATCTGTTCTGTTCTTGCCGTGCGCCGGTGAGAACGGCGGTGCGGCATCTTTTCCCCGCACGGTGGCGGTGGTGACCGGGTTCCAGTGACGTACACCACCCCCGGTCTCTTTTCCTCTTTGCTTTTACCCGGTTAGGGTTAGGGTTACACACTGGCAACCTGGCTCTGGTACCATTGTTAGAATCGTTGTGTACCTTTGTGTAGCCGTAGATCGGAGTAGACCTCTTTAGGGTTCATCTATTTTGCCCTGGTTGCGCTGCAACCTCGCGGACGCCGGTGTCGAGGCAGCTCCGGCTCGGTGACGAGGTCCAGTGGTGATCCCGTGGCCTGGTGGAGACCCTGCAGAGGCGACGGCGGTGTGGTGGGGCATCCCGTCGCTGGCAGCACTCCTTTAGATCGGTTTAGGTTTACTCTGTAGGTGGGTATGGCGGCTCCGTTGAACCTCGTAGCCTGAGCCCTGATCCCCACCTTACCTTTTATACGTGCTGTGCGACAGGGGCCCACCAACCGTATTAGGGTTGGGCTCCCCCGATCAGGGAGCAGAGACAAGGGTCTGGGCCTATTGGTGGAGATCAACTAACATCTGTTACTCATCTGTACATATTCGTGGACGTATTGGTCCGTCTGTATACTTGATGGAATCCAAATGTTATCTACTTCCCTTTGAAAAGGTTAAAGATTTGATATGAAAACATAATCGGTTCCTACTGTGCAATTGACATTTTCTAATACAAGTTATCTGAATTTGCCTCAGGAACCAAATGAGCTAGCTCGAGCCAGTAAACAAGCTGGACAGAGTTAGCCCTTTAGGTCACTAAGTTAACGAGCCGACCCGAGCTAGCTCATTAGCTTAACGAGTCAAGCCAAACCGAGTTGAACTGGCTCGATATCCATCCCTGTCCATCTTCCAGATAATATGATTCATATCAAGCTGAAAGAGGCCTTTCAGTGCTGCGCAGAACAGAAACAACTTCAGTATGTAGGGAACTGAAACAACTTCAGTCCTGAACTGCCCTGCAACACAACTTTACAAATAACAAATCCCCAGCTGCCTTGACCAGCATTAGCATGGAAAGAGACATCAGCATTTATCTGTTGAGATTCTTCTATTTGTATGTTCCGCCACCTATTTTTCTTTTTTCTTATCTGTTGAGATGTGTACTTTTTTTAAAGAGTCATTCAAGTTAGTTTTAATTGAGAGCATCGCTGAAGGAACATGGCTGGAATACGACCATGATTCTTCTCCAACCGAGAATAGTTTTACCTTGGACAGCAGTGATCTCAGGCGATCACTCTCGCTGTCTCGCACATGGTCAGGTGCTCAGGACTAAGGCATTTTTTTCCCCGTATCGGTTCTTCCCTGACTCCCATTTTCAATGACCGTTCCATCTGGCATTACCAAGGCTTCGGTGCAACGAAGTAACACCAAAGTTGACACTATATTACGCCTAGTACGCTCTAGGTGTTCAGAACTTGGTGAAAGAAAGTATGAAAATTGAAATCATTAATGTGAAATCTTGTTTACCGGAATTGTTTACGTAGAAATGATATAGATTATGACCGTTTCTCACCATTGCTGTATATAAAACCTTTTATTTTTTCTTAATTCATTTTCAAAACACTACTTTAAAAAGTTAAATTGAGAAAATATGAAAAGATTCCAGAGTCGTTTCGGCATTGACGATGTCGTGACCAACCATTTTCAGCCCTATACTATAACCATTGAAACATCCTACTGCATATGAACGGGAGTGAAACATCAAACATTAGCCCTCTGAATTTCAACTCAATTGGTACCCCAAGCATGTCAGCTAGTAATTCAACGAAGCATAGCAAACAAGCACCACCAGGCGATAGAGCAAATCAGAATGTACTGGCGAGGGAATAGTTGACCAGCATCCCATAGGATGAATAACCATGAACTCTCAAACAAAATCATAGCTCAACACAATATGATTAAGATGTATAAATGGCAGCTATGCCATCAGCCTCACACCTATAGCAAGCACCACCACATAACCACGAAATGGCAACCGTGTGGAAATGTGGAAGAACGAGTTCAGTTCGGTGTGTCTAGTCTTATTCATCAAAATACACTGTAGCCATGTGTATTTTAAGCTTCGGATCTATAAGTAGAAACTACAGATAAGTAATGGAACTACAAACTTTCCTCAACTCAATAGCACAAGGGGACCAAAAGCAGTAGGTGACAACTGTACACATTTCTATCTCACGTGAAGATCCTCAAAACAGCAAAGTTTCCTCTTTCCTTCAAGAAGCCAGTGGCAGTGGGTACCAAGGGTGGAGTGCCTCATCGGGCAGCTCTTGGTGCTGTGAATAACAGAAAAAATAAACCAGATGAATCACAATGGCTGTGAAAAGGCAGACAATTCTAACACATGAAGGTAGGCTTTAGAGGAAATCATATACCTAAGTTAACGGCCTCTGAACCTTTCATCAGACGAAGGCGCTGGCAGGTTTCCACAAACATCCTGCAAAACCACTATAGTTAGAAACTTGACGGGAACATTCTACTACATCCTTGCAGTTCGGTATCATACGCTACTCTACTCATTGCAATATGACCAAGGAAGAAAATACAAATGAAATTAACTCAGACAGACCCATCCCAATGCTCAATATAACATATTTTCTAGAAGGCGGACCAAGGAGCAATTCTCCATAGGTAGCCAATATGTCAGGGAACAGTTTACTCTACCTATCTAGTAGTGGAGAACAAAACTAGAAAGACAACCTTATCCAAAGTAGCCTAACTTAATAAAGTCAATTCTTTTCAAACATAGGGATTCTGTACATAAAAGTTGCTTAATAATATGTTAAAAGCTAGAAACAGAAACAGCAACGCATACCGTGCAAGATGCATCAAACAGGAAATTGTTGTGATTGGTCCACGTGAATGATGTTTCTGGATGGAATCTAAGGTTAAAAAACCCAAAAAGCAATGAGCTGTGGATAATAAAATTCATTTTTCCCTGGTAGCTGTTTCAGTTTAATTTGATCAGCGGATTGCATGATCGCTGTGAGCTAAAGGTTGTCATTGTCATTATTGTCATTGTTGGTGTGTGTGTGTTGGGGGGGTCCGTAATTATTCTCCTATCGTGATAGTACACTTCAGATCAGTTGATGCAGCATATGAGGAGTAATTCCTCCTCAGATGCACTTACACTACATGCATGAATTACTGCCAACAGCCAACAGCGCCTCTCAAGAATCTCACTTAAAAGATGCATCATTGTAAATAAAAAATAAAAAATAAAAACTAAGTCAAACCTCTGTGCCTATATGAATTAGATCTAGTCACTTCATATCGATGGTTAGATGAAGTAACTTCCAAGACAATCCATTCAAACCCCTAATCCATCCCTATTTATCCAAACAACTCTTTCTAGGATCTGTTTCCTTCCTACCCAAAATATAAAATACAGCCATGTTGTTGCAAATCTACCCACCACAATCTAATCCCCTAAAAAAAAACCCTACTTCATCAGAACTTGGAAGAACTTCTCAAATCAAAGCTACAACGTCCAATTTGATGAGGAATTCAAGATCGTAAGTAATGATCGCACCTAGGAACAAACCTTTGGAGTACTAAAAGCTACTAAATAGTAACGACTTAATCAAAGGACTGTAAAGAAACAGTTAAATCAAAGGTACCACATCCAATCTGACTGACTAGTGCAAGATCCTAAGCAATAATCATACGCTAAGAACCATTCGAGTAAACAAATACTACAAAAGCACGTAGTAATCGTGCAGAAACTGCATAGATAATCAACTTATTAGGGAAAGTAGAACAGAATAAGCAGCACAGGAGCTCACTTCCAGGGGACGTCGCCGACGAGCATCCAGTCGCCATCCTTGTCCTCGTACGTGGGCACGTACTCCGTCCCGTTCACCGCGTCCACCAGCTTCCTCTCGTCGTCGGCAAACTTCCCTGCGCGCGCATCAAGCCAAAACAATCTTCGTCAGCTGGAACGCTCGATCAAACAGAGAAAGGCGCTGGGAAATTAAACCCAGGAGGAAGCACGAAGCAAGGGGCTGGTACGGTAGCACTGACTGATGGTGAAGTGGGAGAAGAACTTGTCCTGGAGCGCGCGGAGGAGCTGGTCGTAGCCGGCGTACGCCTGGAGGTCCACCTTCCGCAGGTAGGGCGCGCCGTCGACGGCCACCTTGACGAACTTGGCGGCCTGGTTGGCCTTGCTGGAGCCCGCGACGTCGGCGAGCGCGTTCTTGCGGTACGACCTCACCGGCGGCCACCCCACCACCCGCGCCCTGCCCACCAAAACACAGGAGGAGGAAGCAAGGAACCAGCATCAAACTCCACTCCATCTCATAGTCATAGTCATAGGCCAAAGCAACCGCCACGCAGTTCCCGTGGGAGAAAATAAAAAGGAAAGGCCTGTGTTCATCGGCCGGGGAAGGCGGCGTACTTGGGTGCCGGTGCAGCGTCGGAGGACGCGGCGAGCGGGGAGGAGCGGTCGGGGTCGGTGTCGGAGGAGGCGCGCTTGCGGTCGGCGTCGGGGAAGGCGGAGGAGGAGGACGAGGACAAGGAGGCGACGGCGGCGGGGGCGGGGGCGGGGGCGGAGCCCGGGAGGCGGAGGGTGAGGGTGAGCGCGGTGTCCTCGAAGTCGAGCCCGGAGGCCGCGGAGGACTCGGTGGAGCTCCGCTCCGTCTCCACCGACATGGCCGGCGGCGGCGTGCTGGGCTCCGCGCTCGGCGGCTTCCTCTTCTTCGTGTGGGACAGCGAGGCAGGAGGGCGAGGAAGGGGAAGGAAAAGGAAAAGGCAGCCGTGGGGAGGTGGTTTGGTTATAATGGGCCGCGGTCACTTGCTCGTCAGGTCGCGATAGTTTTTGCGAATGAGCCCCTAAACGTAATGCTAATCACCTGTATAAAAATTTCTACGTGTCCTATTGTCCTAATGTGATAGTGTCACTGAATATATCTGTTATGCGAATACGGAATAAGGTGAGGCGCAAAACGTAAGAGAGAGAACGGGCAAGCGAGGCTCCAGACTTCCCAAAAGGGGAATATATATTTAATTTAAATAATAAACAAGGAAAATCGCGGTACAGAACTCGCGCGGGTGGCCCCACAAGTGGGCCCCGGCTGCCGGTTGGGCGCCCTGCAGCGGCCCCCGGAAACGGCAAGCGGGTCCACGCTGGAACCAGCCGTTCGATCCCCGGCCGACGGCGGTCCGCCGGTCGCCGTTGAAGGACCTCTTTGTTAAAGGACCTCTTTGTTAAAAAAAGATTAAAAATTCTAGCGGAGGAGAGGAAGGCACGCACGCACGGGCACGGAGAGAGTTTGGATTTTGAAACGCGTGGAACGCATTCCAGCGCGATTTGCACCAAAGTACAGTAACTGTACCCGCCTCCTACCAGGAGTGGTAGTTTGAAACAGACGGGTGGGCGGCAGGGTGGGTAACTGCGGGTGGCCGGACGGGACGGACACGGGACGCGTAGCTGTCCAGGTCCAGCCGTGCCATAAAGCGGCGACATGTGAATGTGCCGGGCTGTCGGCCGCTTGTCCCCCGATCCCCTCCAGCCCGCGCGGCCCACATCGCGTCTCCGTCTCCAGTCTCCCTCCATCCATTCCGTGGGCTGGTTTTGTCTGCGTCTCCGTTTCGCTCTGCCCGTTCGTCCGTGCCGTCGCTCGCGGTCGCAGTCTCCTCCACCTTTTTTCTGCCTGACTGGCTCTCTCCCTCCCTGCCTGACCTCCCGTTCAAACGCTTTCCACGCCGCACCCGTGCCGTCGTCGCGTCGGTGAGCATGCAGCTTCGCATCACGGCCCCGCGCCTCGTGCGAGCACCGGTCCGGTGGTGCATTCTGCAGGCGTTCCAGCGGCGGGGCCGTGTGATGCACAGGCACCACCAGGCAGGAGGGAACTGCTGCCCTGGTTTAGCTGATAAACCATATCTGAAAAGTACGGTTGACTGATTTATTGCGAGAGACTGATTTATTATAAAAAAAATACTATTTATTAGTTAAAAAAATACGACTAACGTCTTGTTTAGTTAGACACCAAAGTCCAAAAAGTTGCTACAGTACCTGTCACATCGAATGTTTGCGGTCGTGTATGAAGCATTAAATATAGACGAAAATAAAAACTAATTGCACAGTTTGGTGAAAAATTGCGATACAAACATTTTGAGCCTAATTAGTCATATTTAAACACTATTTGCTAAATAAAAACGAACATGCTACAGTAATTCTAAAATTCAAATTTACCGAACTAAACAAAACAAGGTCTAAGACAAGCGACAGCGGCGTGTGAAGTGTGAACGATCTCTGCGTCGGGCTGTCCTGCAGCCGTGGAAGACAAGAAAAGGTGCCTGCGGACTGGACGGCCACTGCAGTGGACGGTGTTGTGCATTGGATGGGGGCCTGCGTGGAGAAGCGCGCTGGAGAGCAGTGCTCCCTAGAGCTGCAGCTAGTGGCTTCGATGGAGTAGCTGGAGCCTGGATCTCGACGCCTTTTTCCTGTCCAGTTCAGGCGCGACAGGGCAGGACCCGAGGCCGGCCGGTCCACCTGTGCACGTACACCACGCCTTGTCCTGTTCAACGAATCCGATCCATCGGCCTGTCTCCCACCAGAAACTCACGTGGACACAGTAAGAGATCTAAAATCGATCTCCAACAGAGTACTTAGGGCCTATTTAGATTTAAAAAATTTTGCACAGTACTTATCACATCGAATCTTGCGACACATATATGGAGTGTTAAATGTAGACGAAAAAAAACTAATTACACAGTTAGATGACAAATCGCGAGACGAAACTTTCGAACCTAATTAGTCCATAATTAGACACTAATTGCCAAATAAAAACGAAAGTACTACAGTACCAAAACCTAAAAAATTTTGGATCTAAACGCAGCCTTATTTGGGTTGTCTAAGAGGCACGACCTAAATATAAACATCCTTTCTTCTGGAAGTTCATTTGCAGAAAGAATTTTCTTTTAAGTCTTTTTTGTTAAAGAAAATATAGAATAAGTATTGAATCTTTTTTCTGTAACGCTACCGAAAAAAATAAATGAGTCTGATATTTTATGTGTCGACGTTGGAGAAAGCCTCACGAGGGAGCGGGGACTGGCGGACTGCCAGTGCCGCCAGTGCCAGATATCGAGGGGCGCACCGCAGCTGCAGCGTGATCTTTGACGGATCGAGGGGGTTGCGGTTGCGGCCGTGAGGTGAGAAGGACCTCAATCAGTGACAAGAGCGCTGGGCGGATTAGGACTATATGCTGATATGCATGCGGATTAGTATAGTAGTGGTTGGGGTAACAATTGAATCCTCGTTCCTGATCTCTCACGATTCTGAATCTTCGACGTGCTACTAGCCTACTCCGTACGTCCCATAATAATTACACTTCTAGAGTTTAATTTTTTTTCCCAAATAAAATACACATCTACATATAAGACAATCTAACTTAATTTTTTATTTTTTATTTTCTCTCTTCCCAAGGTGTAATGATTGCAACCTTATATGTACTTCCCTCCGTTTTCATTTACTTGTCACCGAACTTTTACTGTAGCAATTTTGACCATCGGTTTTTTTTTTGTAAAAGATTTTTAGATACATCAAGTTTTCACATATATGATTCTTCATTTTACATACTTGATTAATGTTATATACTTTGAAGTATCTAAGATTTTCTAGAAGAAAAAAAACAGCTGGTCAAATATGATACAGTAAAAGATTGGTGACAAGTAAATGAAAACGGAGGTAAGTATATATTTATAATTTTTCACTAGCATCATTATCTTCGTCATAGTCTAAAAGTGTATTTATTTTGAGACGGAGAAAATAGCCTACTAGGCCCTGTTGGATCATGCTGCAAGTACTAGCTGCCATTCTGAAATTAAACTAATATTTAAAGAGTATTTTTGTCTTTATTCAAACTATTTAAATTTCCACCATCTTTGCAGGAGAAAAATGTTTCGCTATTTAGGATATGAAATAAGCATGTTGCTAAAATAACGAATCTGCCGATATTTATTTGACATCACCAATAATAAATATGTATTTAGATTTGATTAAATTTAAAAGTGCTTGATTCCTACTATATTAGAATTGCATTGTTTTTGTAGTTGAGGGAGTAGCAATTAAAATATATACTTCCTCCGTCCCAAATTCTAAGATGTTTTGGCTTTTCTAGATATATTGCTCTTACCATGTGTCTACTAAGTGTGTAGTAAAACAATGTATCTAGAAAAGCCAATTGTGTTATAATTTGGAGTGGTGTGAGCTACCACCTAAATAGCCCCCTTTACAAATACTTATAGATGTGCAAGTTACTAGCAAAATTTACTTATGAGATTAGAGTTGCTAGCATGTTGTCGACAAAAGACGCTCGACAGTCCACCGAGGGGTATCCCATGATGGTAGATTTGTCGTAGAGGTGCGCGTAATCAAGAACAAGAAGGCAATAGAGACACAAGAGTTAGATAGGTTCAGGCCGTCAGTACGACGTAATACCCTACTCCTATGGTCTGTTGGTTTGTATTGACTATCGTATGATATTGTGTGTGTTTTAAGAGGGTCCTTGCCCACCTTATATAGTCTGGGGGCAGGGTTACAAGTCGGTTAGAACTAGGAGATAACCGAAAAGTAATAACATATTACATGAATCATGGGATCGAGCATATCCTAACAGATCTCGTAGCATCTTCAGGATATCGCCCTTGATGTCTTGCGGTGTACGCTGAGCAGTGTCGTGCACCGTAGGTCTTCTTCTTATGGGTTGGACCGCCCTTGGGAGCGCAGCCCATGTAGTCTATCGTGGGTATCCGGAGTCATACCCCCCACAGCTAGTCTCTGAGCGCCTTGTATCCGTTGTGCAACGTCGACTTGAGCTTGTCCGAGCATTTGTGAACAAAGCCGAGCAGTCAGACTCATAGTCCGACCACCCTAATGAGTCACCGAGCAGTTGTGAACCGTCGCCGAGCAGAGTATCCCAAGTAAGGCTTACCATAAGGATATAAGGAGCTCAAGTTCAAAATCGAAATTTTTCTCGCTGTGAACCAAGTGTGCCCACTTAGAGTCCGACCTCGAGAAAGGGAGATAATCTTCTTCAACTTCGGGAGGCACGGAGTCTTCTAGATTAAAGAAAACACACTTATCGCAAGGTAAAGTGTGTCCACTTAGTCTCCGAGCCTGACAGTAGGTGACGTAGTCACGTGGTGCTAGGGTCTAGAGAGTAGAAGAAAGGCAGAAGACCAGCCGAGCAGGCAACCAGGCCACGGGCGGAGCCCTGAAATGAAAAGCGCACATTCACCGCAAGGTGAAGTGTGCCCACTTAATCCCCGAGCCTGGCAGTAGGTGACGTGGTCACGTGGTGCCAGGGTCAGAAACAACAATAATCGAAAAAGTCCCCGGTATGATAAGAAACCAAGTCATAATGATGACGTAATCCCCGAGCCACAAGTGGAAATCTCAAATAAATCATGAAATGCCGAATACTCAAATCGTAGAGAAAAAATCGGAGTAATGGTTGTGTAGTAGAAATTACTGAGCCTTGATGACTATGCAGAGAAGTCAGTGAATATTCGGTGTGCAGTACCAAGTTGCGTCGAAGAATGGGCGATATGGGCCCAGTTGCGCAGAAGCCCAAATAACGACCCAGCACGCCGCTTTGGAGAATTCAAAAAGGCGCAAATCATGGTGCGGTTTCCCAAAAACCCTTGAA